ACGGTGTAACAAATGCATCAGAGAATTGTAAATAAAACTTGAGTAAAAACATAAAAGTTGCTGATGTTTTTGTAGTAGTTATTGTGAATGGTGAGATCGTCCGGTTTTAAAATAATAAACAATTTAACCTTCGGGAACAAAACCTCCCCAAGAGCAGATGTTTGAGAGCGAGTCCCTGAGAACCTTCTCCTTTATCATCCAGCAATATAATGTTTGGTGGTAATGTTTACTGTGTTGTTAAAGTTGATAATGAAACATAAAGATTGAATATCATGATCTCACTTTTATTAACAGCATCACAATAACAAGCAACGCAATACGCACTAAGCTTCTCTATTCACAACACATTTATACCATATGAATGTACTGTTGTGTATATACAGTACATGCACGCGTGTACGGGTACAGTTATGTATTATACTGTATGTATGTATGGTACAATATACCCGCATTTGAATATATGTATGTAACAATATTGTGTATCTAAAGACTTCATTCTCTATATTGTATAATGTTAGGATTGTGTATAGGCTCCGACTGTCAACATGTGTGTGTGTGTGTGTGCATCTTTTTCACCCTCACCTACCCAAACTGACTCTGGTGTTGCAGGAGGTGTCCGCCCGCTGCCTCCTACAAGCACTACTCTTGTGGACGTAGAGATAATGTTAATTTTGTGTTTATGTTGTGGTAATAATGAATTTAATGTACTGACGCTGTTTGAGGATAGTTACCTCTCGTGTTGTTGTTCATGACGCCGTTCTGTTATTGATGTCTGTAAATTGTTCATCTTATTATCATCACGTAACATAAGCCCATTGAATAACATGAACATTTATGATTGAAATGAAAACATGTGATGAAACAAAACATCTCTCTCTCTCACCTAAGCGGCACGAGTGTGAGTGAAGGTTATTGTAAGAGTGTCAACACGGGATTATACCACACAGGCTTCTCTCCATCATAATCCCCGGCCCGCTGCTGACATCTTTTATCATAATGATCACGTCAGCTTAAGGAGAGGCTTTGTATAAGTCCCTCTAAACAGGTCATACTCCTACTAAGCAGTCCTTTTATTGTTGTTGTCTATGTATTCAGCTACGAGGGGATTGAATCAGCCTTAATGTACAGTTTATAAAGTCGGTAGAGGTGTTAAAACCGAGTTACATAATATACAATATACACAATATGTATTTAGTATAGTGTATCATTTGTATTATAGGGGAATCATCAGTTCAGTCATACCGTCATCTGAAGGATAGTGTCGAGTCAATCATCCATCCATCTATTCATCTATCCATCTATTGCAGGTTGAAGGGGTGATATAATTCGACTATCCACCTAGCCATTGAGGTGTCATCATTTGTCTCCATCTATCTAGGGCCGTCCTCCATCTTCTCTCTCCTTCTTTGTTCCATCGTGATTGCCTACCTGGTGGGAGAGAGGGGGTGGGGGGAACACCTCCACAGTTAGTCAGGAAAATGGATGGCTGATTTATTCTCTCTCTCTCTCTCTGATACACTGGCAAGTAGGTAAAGTCTTGACACAGTTGGTTGCGGGATTCATCAATTAGTATAAGGCGATGATACGTAATAAAAACAGAGAGACAATCAGACAATCAGACAGACAAACACTGAAACACACACACACACATAGACATAAACTCAGACAGACACAGACACTACACATAGATAATGACACTTAGACTCTGATAGACAAACACACACTTAATGTATATCTCGTTTATCTTTCCTTGGTAAGTAGATACACACCCTTAGCTTACGTGTGTACCAGAGTGTCTCAGGTCGGAGCAGGGAGTGATTGAGGGTCATTACGTCTGTACTAGCCATGAAGGATCACAGCTGCATGTGTTTGTGACTGTGTGACTGACTCTTCTTCCTCCTCCCTCTAAGTCTTTCTTGTTCTTCTTCTTTCTTCTTCCTTGTTCTTGTTCTTCTTCCTCCTGTTCTTCTTCCTTCCTTCTCTAATAAAAGTCTTGATTTCACCTTTCCTACTTTCTCCTGTATGTTGTGTCCCCCTCTTCCTTTCTTCCTTCCTTCTGTTCTGCTTCCTTTCACTCACTGTCTTCTTTTTTTTCCTTTCCCTCGCCTTCCTTCTCTTCTACTCTTCTACCGTTCGTTCGTCATTCCCTCTTCTCCTCACCTGATTTTTTTCTTTCTGTTATGCCATTTTCCCTTATTTATTTCTTCTCTTTATCTTCTCTTCCACCTCATCCTCTTTCATTTTCCATTCTTCTTTCTCTTTTCATTCTCCTCTCTCCCATGCCCTTCTTCCTCCTCCAGTGCCCCTCTTCCATCTGCCCCTTTCCTCCTCCTCCTCTTTCTCTTTCTCTTCCTCTTCCTTGTCCTCCTTCTCACTGCCCGAACACGACAGGTGTATAAACTTAGTGATAGTGTAAGACTTTCCTAGGGACTAACACACACACACACACACACACACACACACACACACTGCATGCTTTCAATAAAACACAAAAATATACTGATATTTATACAACATTAACACTACAGTATTCACTTCATGTAATGGTAGTAGGCAGCTATCAATCAGGGAGGTACTACCGCCTGGGAAGATATTGGAAGCATAATGTGTTGTCTAATGTTAGACCCTGCTGCCATATGGCATCGCAAAAATTGTCCCAGGTTGCTGATCTGTCTTTCTGCTTCATTAACACACAATTGCAGGGTCTCAATTGTTGCTCTTACTATTGACAACACAACATACTTATATTGTTTTATTTTTTATTTTTTTTTATTTCTTTCTGGTTCTTTATTATTATTATTATTATTATTATTATTATTATTATTATTATTATTTTATTTTTAATTTTGGTTTTATTTTATTATAAATTTCATTTACTGTGAATAATAATAATAATAATAATAATTATTATTATTATTATTATTATTATTATTATTATTATTAGTAGTAGTAGTAGTAGTAGTAGCAGTACATTTTCCCCAGGCCCCGATGTGGGTCAGTGACTGTGCCTGGTTGGGCTTATCCTATATATATATATATATATATATATATATATATATATATATATATATATATATATATATATATATATATATATATATATATATATATATATATATACACATATACATATACATATACACAAGTTTGACACTACAAGAAAAGTATTAAACATAAACAATATCCAGAAAAATATGAAAAGAAGATTACATAGTTACCTGGTTCACTAACTATTACCTTTACTGACTGATGAACGAGACTGTTCTCTTTATTTGTCAAGGTGAATTAGTTAAGCCTCCGAAGCACACCGTAATTACAGGTGATTTATGTCTCACCTTTTATATTTACTGGAGGGAAGGAGAGCTAGTTAGTTCCAGACGTGTTGTTCTTGAACACCACTTACCCACTCACCCATCCAGTCACCCATCCACTCACCTACCCACCCATCGCATCCCAACGCAAAAATCCAACACCATCCATTCCTGCTACGGCAGACATAAATATCCGGCTAATTAACGGAAGAGACCAGGAGGCCGGCTATTTGTCTTGGGGCTGCCCAACTTATCCGGTTCAGAGGTCAGGCCTTAGTCTTATGGCCAGGAGCCAGGATCAGGAGTGAGTGTTTGTAGGTCAGGGGATGCCAGCTTCAAGTCCAGGAGGTGATAGTCTCAAGTCCGGGAAAAGTGAAAAGTCCAATAGCTACACTTCAGCTTCAAATCCAAGAATCACTGCTAAGTCCAAGTGTAAGTCTTAACTTCAGGAGGTGGTCTGAAGCCCATTAAACGGCCTCAAGTCCAGGACCCAATATTAAGTCCAGGAATTAATTGCAATTCCAAAAACCAGAGACGGTATATAGAATGATTATCACTACAGTACTGGACAGACAGGCAGGCAGAGGGATAGAATAATTATCACTTGGCTCGTTGAGTAAGGCAGAGGCGAGGGTCACTGCATCAAGTCATCCAAAGAGAAAGACGAGGGAATCAAAGGCTGTTAGGACGCTTTACGGACACCTGGCCGGGCATAACCTGGCCTTTTACTAGTGGTGGAAGGGCCAACGTGAGGTGTCCTGATGGCACTTGGTCGCTGGATGCCCTACATAAAGTCGGTGAGTTACTTTGCCACTCTGCTACAGTGGACATCATGTTGTGTCACTCTCTGCTACAGTGGACATCATGTTGTGTCACTCTCTGCTACAGTGGACATCATGTTGTGTCACTCTGCTACAGTGGACATCATGTTGTGTCACTCTCTGCTACAGTGGACATCATGTTGTGTCACTCTCTGCTACAGTGGACATCATGTTGTGTCACTCTCTGCTACAGTGGACATCATGTTGTGTCACTCTCTGCTACAGTGGACATCATTTTGTGTCACTCTCTGCTACAGTGGACATCATGTTGTGTCACTCTCGCTACAGTGGACATCATGTTGTGTCACTCTCTGCTACAGTGGACATCATGTTGTGTCACTCTCTGCTACAGTGGACATCATGTTGTGTCACTCTCTGCTACAGTGGACATCATTTTGTGTCACCCTGTTGTGAAAGTGGCTCCCATAAACCGAAACCTTAAGGGCAGTGCGGATACAGCATACTGAAACCTGAAAAAAAAATCGGTAAACAAACAGGCAATGTGGTCGGCAATGCCCTCGAGCGTTTTATCATTTCCCCAACCCCGAATGCGAACCAGCGACGAACCTTACACAGACACACATACAGACACACACACACACACACACACACACAAGGCTAGACTATGAGTTAAGCAAAAACCCCATTAGAGTGTTGCTTCAGGGGTCAGATGGTAACCTCTGACCTTCGTTTGACTCCATGTAGGATTTCGGTCTCGAGCCCACAGTTTCATGTCCTTGTTCTCGAGTCTCTTAGGTTTAGAATCAATGGTCTCGAATCCTTAGTGTCGGTCTTGATTTCATGTCCTTGGTCTCGAGTCCTTGGTTTCAAGTCCTTGGTTTCGAGTTTTGGTTTCGAATCCTTGGTTTCAAGTCCTTGGTTTCGAGTCCTTGGTTTCAAGTCCATGGTTTTGAATTTTTGGTCTCGAGTTCTTGGTTTCGAGTTTTTGGTCTCGAGTCCTTGGTTTCGAGTCCTTGGTTTCGAGTTCTTGGTTTCGAGTTTTTGGTCTCGAGTCCTTGATTTCGAGTCCTTGGTTTCGAGTCCTTGGTTTCAAGTTCTTGGTTTCGAGTTTTTGGTCTCGAGTCCTTGGTTTCGAATCCTTGGTTTCAAGTCCTTGGTTTCGAGTCCGTGGTTTCAAGTCCTTGGTTTTGAATTTTTGGTCTCGAGTCCTTGGTTTCGAGTCCTTGGTTTCGAGTTCTTGGTTTCGAGTTTTGGTCTCGAGTCCTTGATTTCGAGTTTTTGGTCTCGAGTCCTTGGTTTCGATTTTGGTCTCGAGTCCTTGGTCTCGAGTCCTTGGTTTCGATTCCTTGGTTCGAGTTCTTGGTTTCAAGTCCTTGGTTTCGAGTCCTTGGTTCGATTCCTTGGTTTTGAGTTTGGTCTCGAGTCCTTGGTCTCGAGTCCTTGGTTTCGATCTTGGTTTCGAGTTTTGGTCTCGAGTCCTTGGTCTCGAGTCCTGGTTTTCGATTCCTTGGTTTCAGTCCTTGGTTTCAAGTCCTTGGTTTCGAGTCCTTGGTTTCAAGTCCTTGGTTTCGAGTTTTTGGTCTCGAGTCCTTGGTTTCGAGTCCTTGGTTTCGAGTTTTTGGTCTCGAGTCCTTGGTTTCGAATCCTTGGTTTCGAGTCCTTGGTTTCGAGTCTTTGGTTTCGAGTTTTTGGTCTCGAGTCCTTGGTTTCGAGTTCTTGGTGTTGAGTTTAACTTCAAAGGGAAATTACTCGCTTTAGTGACGTCTTCACATTCCAAGGCAGATATCAATTAAAACTTTTCATAACCCTAAAAAAAATAGAAAACATTTAATTTCTCATCTAAATCTAATAAAAAACTACAAAAAGTACGACATTTGGCCAGGTGGTAGATGACGTCACACAGAGAGACTGCCAGCCGCATGATCATTGAAAAATTAATCACTTTTTTCTTTTGGTCTGGAGTCTTTATTCTTAGATGTCACCTTCTCTATTATATTTCTAGCTATTTAAGATAAACAGAGAAATAGATTGATGAATGGATGAAGAGAGAAAGATGACAAGAAAAGAGAGAGAGAGATTAATGCCATCTTTCTCACTCTAAAATTCTCTCCTTTGCTACCTTCTCCATCTATTTTTCACGTCTTTCCTACATATCCACGTTCTTCTTTCCACCATCATCGTCTCCTTTTGCATCTCCCTCTTCTCTAATGACTCTTCCACCCTTTATTGTCCCCTTTCTCTGTCTCTGGTATTTCTTCTTATTTCTTCTCTCTCTCTCTCTCTCTCTCTCTCTCTCTCTCTCTCTCTCTCTCTCTTATTTTTGTTAGGTTTCGTTTCATTCTAATTCCTCTGTTTTACCCTATTTCCTCCTTACACCCCACCATTTCCCTCACACCCCACCATTTCCCCCACACCCTACCACCTTCCTCACACCCCACTACCTCCCCCACGCCCCACTACCTCCCCCACACCCCACCATTTTCCCCACACCCTACCACCACCTTCCCCACACCCTACCACCTTCCCACACCCCACTACCTCCCCACGCCCCACTACCTTCCCCACACCCCACTACCTCCCCACACCCTACACCTTCTCACACCCCCACCTACCCCACTACCTCCCCACACCCCACTACTCCCCCACGCCCCACCACACCCCAGGGTCAGGTTTCTAGCTCTGCCAAACGATGCCATAAAATGTGATCTTAAAATTTCCCAGCGGAGTGATGGAGAGGATGGCTGTGTTGATTGTCAGAATTAACCCCAAGTGTAGACCTGGTGAGCCATAGCCGTCTCGCCTCTCACTATAAAACTAATTTGCACCTCACACGTTGAGGTCTAATTTGCACCACAGTCTTGATGGTCTCAGGTTCCTCAGAGGGCCATGAAAAATGATATAAACTAGTCTCCTAATACACTGTTTATATATATCTATTCGTATATATATATTAAGAATGTATATTAATATATAAATCCATAATATATATACATGAACCAACTAATTGAAGACATGATGCAAATTGGCTATTTACTGTCTAAGTTGAGTGATGTTTGAGTATATCGATTATAAGGTTCATAGCTCCGCGATTTTCGAACCTTCGAACAATTTGAATCATCGAATATCTAGGGTTTGTAAGTGACGTCACAGATCAGCTGATGGCTTGCTTATGGACCACAGAGAGAGACCTTGTCAGTACCAGTCTTACGTCTCTCTGGTAAACATTAATCAGAGTAGTTGACTGACACTGGGGACACGGGGAAAAGACCAAAGGATATTAATGCAGTGTTTCCCGACAGGTGAACAACAACAGCGACTGGAGAGCAGAAATAAACCGGAAATCTGGAGGTGTTGACTGAGCTGATGTGAGGTTAGTACAATGTCACTCACTGCATGAACACAAGGTAAATCATTTAATCTTTGGGAATATCAACATGCAATACTCTGTGAGGGAGGTTACACATCTAGTCAAGCAAATACTGTCCGTGTGTTTGTATAATTAAGTAACTTTTCATCATTAGTGTTTGTTTGGACAATTATTATTACCGGCCTTTGGGTAGTTAGGGGAAAAGCAGTGAGTGTGTATCAATAATTATCACAAACTCGAACGTGATTTAAGAGGAATAATAAATCACCCGTTTCTGTATAGTTATTGCAGTCGTAGTAGTTCAGCCGACCTTGTGAAGCTTCGTTTTTTTTACGGTCTGTAGTCGTACAGTTTATTTCAGAATGTTTTTCCTGATGAGAGGGAAGATTAACTATCCTCTTTCACCAGCGTTCAGAATTCTGTACACCGCGTCGCTAAAAAAGTGGAAAAACGTGATGACACTTTTTTGAAACGCAAGAAAATATATATAAAAAATATATACGATTTTCCTTTTGCTTTCTATCCACTTCCTTTAAATTTTTGTTTTTCCTTTCGTTTTTATTCATTTATTTTTGCCATTTAAATTTCCTTCTCGGTATATAGACGCAGTGGTACCAACACAACAACAAATAACATTAAACAGCGTTGCCAGATTATTATGAAAAAGTCAACAAGTAGACAATATTTCTTCAGGAAACGCCGGGCGTAAAATAGACCACATTACCATCTTATCTAATTATAAAAATTTGAATATCTAAAGCATTATGGAAGTCTTATGAGGATATTATATTCTTACTTAACTTTTAATTCAACAATATAATGCTCGGGTCTCGACATAGATAAAGACAGTCACGCATCTAGTTAAAACTATTTCAACATCAAACTACTTTATACCTTTACTCTACGTTCAATATAAACTTTGGTTTTAATCTGAGACAATTGAGTTCGGGGGGTGACTTAAATGGATTGATCTTATCTTGACTAAAGTGTTTTTATTGTTTTTGTTTTTTAACCAGTCATAACTACCCCGGTACAATCAGGTAGTTGTACCCTTACGACTGACGTGAAGGATCTTCCGTCCATAACATGAGATTTTATAAACAAACCCTCTTCTGTGTAATGAGGTCAGTGTAATCCCCTTTGGAGAGTGACCTGGAATTGACCTCTGATTTAATGGTTCATCAGTCATACAGAAGTTTAAGGTCTTGTTGGGTTCAAACTACCCGTACGAACCCGAGTTTAAGGTGTGCCTCTGAACCCTGTGTGTTGATGTTGACTCGACCAAGGTGAGTCTTGTGGGGTGAACCGTGTCTGGTATGGGAAGGGTGGGCGTGGTGGTGAATGTGGGTGTCAGTGGGCGTGGTGGTGGTGAATGTGGGTGTCAGTGGGCGTGGTGGTGAATGAAGGTGTCAGTGGGCGTGGTGGTGAATGTGTCAGTGGGCGTGGTGGTGAATGAGGGTGTCAGTGGGCGTGGTGGTGGTGAATGTGGGCGTGGCACCAAGTCTCAGAAGATGAACCCTCCTCCCCAAAAACAAAGCATTAAAACAAGATCCACACATTGTTTACCTCCCATAAGTTAGCGGGTCGGTGCACCTCACTGTCAATTAACTCCACACACCTGCGAATACCTGAGGTGGTTTTACGGTGCATGTGTGAGGTACAGTACCCAGATGTGTAAAGTGACACATGTCTTCTATCACACAGTAGTGGGGGTTCTTGTGTGTGGATATTTACCCTCTCGAATTAACATGTATATTTTCGTTCTTCATGTGCACATTTTACATAGAAGAGGGCCTCACTCACATACACACACACACACACCTCACTTAGACTCTATCTATCAAGAATGGTCCGTATATCTCGGCTCCTCACCTTCAATGTTATGTCTCCATTTCCCTCCCTCGCCCCCTCACTCTCCTTCTCTGTCCTCTTCTCCTTCCTGTTATCGTTTTATCCCAGTTCTCTGTATGAGTTATCGCTTTTTTGTTTATCATTATACAGTTAGAAACAATATCACTGGTACAGATACAAGCACAGGTAGAGTTATAGGTACAGGGACAATTACAGCCACAGTGATTCATAAATAAAAATAAATGTCAATGCACATCGTTAGGTCACGCCATTTCCACACAAAGAATGATGACATTTATTACATTCATATTTTTCTCGACATTCTTTTCTGCAGTCAATTTTGTTTTGGTTTTCTTTTCAACCCCAGAGGTCAGCAACCCTTAGGCCACCGCTGACACACACACACCTCTCTCGCCTTTCATAAGATGTCACTCGCCATAAGTTTCCCAGTGTGATGTGTTCCACCACTCTTGAAATCGTTCCTCAAGGGGGTACAACACTCAGCTCTCACTCACTCACTCACCTACTCGCTCACTCACTCACTCGCTCACTCACTCATTCCCCGACATTAACACCCGGAACTAACGCTATTGAAGCTTTATGGAGTGTGAGATAGAAATAGTATATATATGTACATAACAAACATAATACCATTTTGAGTTGGAACTTAAAGAGAGATGAACTGACTCGAGGGAAGAACAATTGTTAAGGTTTGAGAGCTCGTCAAGAGGAAAAGAAGGAAAATAAAGACTAAAGATCGTGAATAGTGAAGTAATGGAAAAGTAAATGGATAAAGAGGAGATTGACAGACGTAATAAATGAGAGAATGTAACATAGATAACATGAATTATACCAGGATAGTCGAGGCTAATTTAAATGTGTGGGGGTGTGTGTGGTGGTCAGTGTCGGGTGTGTGTGGTGGTGGCCAGTGTCGGGTGTGTGTGTGGTGGTGGCCAGTGTCGGGTGTGTGGTGGTCAGTGTCGGGTGTGTGTATGTGTGGTGGGTGTCGGGTGTGTGTGGTGGTGGTCGGGTGTGTGGTGGTGGCCAGTGTCAGGTGTGTGTGGTGATCAGTGTCGGGTGTATGTGTGGTGGTGGCCAGAGTCGGGTGTGTGTATGTGTGGTGGTGGCCAGAGTCGGGTGTGTGTGATATCCGTTTCATTATAAAGGTTACACCGTGAAAATTTTGCTGTGTAAAAATAAAATAACAAAAAGCAACAAAGGCAGCAGCGTCAAGTAACAGCAAGGAGCCAACAGCCAGCAACAGCACGAATTCA